GGGGGGGGGGGAGGGATTTATGAGGAAATCAGTTGTGAAGCATCTTGCTTTGCTCATCGATGAAGGTCAACGGGTATGATTTTTAGAACAAGGTGTAGGTGTGAAGTCTCGAAGATTCCACTATTTAAAGAGGAACAGAGTTGTGTGACACAAAATTGTGTAAAAATGGCTGTTAGCTCTAATTTATTTGGCACTCCCATTTAAAATGCTGAGAGAATGCTACTGTAACTCTGATGCTGTTGTATTAGCTGGATGCTTTCATTCAGCGAGACTACAGCTTGGCTTAGTCAAAGCGGAATTGCCGCCAAAAAGAGCTCCAAAATGCACGTAGTCAAAAAGGCAAAAAAATTAGTGCGGCGTCCCGGTATAAGAAGTCAGTAAGTGCAGTTGGATACATGTATTCCAAAGACGACAGATCAAATGGATTTGAGCATGGTCCGAAGGCCACCCCACCCGCACAAGGACTAGACGAATTCTAAAGTGACCGCCTAATGTTATATGGTCACACAAACACTGACACACACTGACCCTCTCTTCTCCCCTTGGTACACCTCCCGCACCAGCCATCACAACATATTCAGTACCACAAGAAAGTACCCACGAGCCAACCGTGCCAGTCGACAGATAGCATCAGACTGAGGAACCACACCTGGTTTCCTCGACAGCTTCAACTACATCTGGAGTTACGTTTAGTCTGACAACCAGGTTCGGTGCCATATACACCTGTTGACGTTCGTGCTCTGGTCTACAACACGTATATTACGAGAAAAACGGGACGGGTCAATGTCCTGTATGTAAGGAGAACTGTAGCGTCATTTCCGGCATCTAAACATGAATTTAGTGGGGAAATTCCGACACGAATCTTTTCCAGATGGTTCACGGCGGTGTCGCTTCAGTTGTTAACAGTTTGTCTGGGGAGCACAGGAATAAGGTGAAACCAAATGCAAACGTCAGCCAAGATTTTCGTTGTGAAGGATTCAGAGATTCTCCGCCGCCAAGGTGAATGCTCCTCCTTCAAATCACGTCCTTTTTCGCATGTATCGTCATCTATTGCACTTCGATTGAGCCAGACTTCTTCTACGCATGTATAGCTCATGATTGCTGGTGCAAAATGCTAAGATGCTCTTATTAATCTTGGATTGCTCCACTAAAAAGTAGAATATTTTTGCAGACTTGTTTGCTGTTTGGATTATAAGCTCCATGTCGCGAAAAGAGAGGAATCGAATTTCCGACCAAGGGAATCCGATTTTGAGGTGTAACAGATTATCAAGCTCGTAGATACTCAAACCTAGATCATCAACACCAAAAACATGCGATATACATATCCAGATCCTGTACGATTTGTGGATGCTGAACCTGTAGAGTCCCGAGGCTTCTAATGGGGTAGTAGAAGGCATAAGTGAGGTTGAATACATGTATTGCGAAAACAATAGGAGAAATGGAGGCTTGAACGCGGCCCGAAGGCCAGCCCACGTGTACTAGGCCTAGACAAGTTCTAAAGTGACCGCCAAACGTCAGATAGTCACATAAACAAAGCATTAAACTACCCCTCTCTTCTTTTGAGCGACATCCTCGGCGCTCCCCTTTAATACACCTCATGCTCCAGCCATCACAACATATTCGGTACTACAAGAAAGCATCCACGAGCCAACCGCGCCAGTCAACAGACAACGCGAGAGCGAGGAATCGTACCTGATCTTCTCGGCAGCTTCAACTGGATCTGGAGTTTCGTTCGATCTGACAACCAGATTCGGGGACCCCTGCATCTGTCGACCATCAATTTCTTCCAGGAATACACGATGGAACTCTGGTCTACAACAGATATGTTACAGGGTTAAGGAGACGGGCCATTGTCCTGTATGCGAGGAGATCCGTTGTGTCATTTCGGACACCTAAACACGGATTCTGTATGGTAAATCCCCACACAAAG